AGCAAGGCCGGCAGCAATACCCCGGTCCTATCAACCCAACAGAGTGGTAGGAGTGGACCTGTTCTACATCACCGCCCCCGGAGGTGGAAGTCAAGACGTACCAGTTCTCAACATGCTGGACTGGGGAACGCACTACCAGATGGCAGAGATCTTAGAGTCCAAGCAGCCGGAGGAAGTGTGGGAGGCATTCTCTCGCACGTGGATGAGGACTTTCGGGCCACCGGAAGTGCTGACCTTCGATGCGGGCCGCGAGTTCCTCAAGCGCTTCATGAGTCAAGCTTCGGGCCACGGCATTGTCACTCATCAAATTGCCGCCAAAGCCCCCTGGCAACAAGGGAAAACAGAACGCCATGGAGGTCATTTCAAGGCGTTGCTGGAGAAGGCCCGCAGTGAGTTCGTAGTGAGGAACCTCAAAGACCTACGACAACTGGTGGGGGAGGTCGAGCAGGCCAAGAACCGCTATGCCAACCGAAGTGGCTTCGCTCCGGTGCAACGGCAGATTGGACAGTGGCCACGGCTTCCCACGACGATCCTCTCTGACGAGGGCCTCGACCCAAGCCTGGTTGCGGGTGTGATGGTGGACGATGTGGAGAAGCTTCATGAAATGAGAAGAATCGCCCAGAAGGCCTTCTGTGAATACAACGCCAAGGAGGCGCTAACAAAGGCACTGAAGGCCCGCCCAAGAACATGGCAGACCTACAAGCCGGGCGAGTACATCTTCGTCTACCGAGTGCCAAGGTTCCGGAAGACCAAGAACGGCTCCACGCCAGACGACATTGCCAAGAACAAGCCAACCTGGGTAGGCCCGGGCACAGTCATCGCTGAAGATGGGGCAAACCTCTGGGTGTCGATGTTGGGAGAGCTATGGAAGGTGGCACGGGAACAGTGCCGCCCTGCAACCACCGGCAAGAAGACCGGCATCGAGGCGGTACTCACAGAGTGTCAAGACCTCATAGATGAATTCAAGAGGAACCCACATCGCGCCGGCTACAAGGACTTTTCGCAGGAAGAGTGGCCTCCGGAAGAGGAGGACCCTACATCGACGGCTCCTCCAACTACCCGATCAGTGCGCTTCGAAGAAGGAGAACCAGACACCTTGGAGTACACCCCAAGCGTGGCAGACGAAGATTTAGAGGCTGCAGCACCGGTGGCTCGCAGAAGATCCATTGGGGAGCCAGAACAAGAGGAGATCCCGACTTCCAGCGAAGATTCCACGTCGACAACTTCAGAGTCCACCTTGGCACCACCGCCACCTTTACCACCTATGCCACCGACTCCTCAATGGGTGAACCCGTTCCCACAAGTGCCGGAAACACCTCCGGTGGCCAATGGGAACACTGGAAGTCAGGTGAATGGAGCAAACGACAACATCGAGGAGAGCTGGAGGCAATCCATAGAGGCGGCTCAACGACTGGACGGGCTCCCTGCAAATCCAAGAGGACCAGTCCGACATGAGTGGAGGAGACAGCCAGCACAAAATGCGCCCTACTTCACTGAAGGCTATTGGTACCTGGTCACGGACGAGGAGGACTTGCTGGAGGAGTCCTTTGAAGACTACCAGGAGGGCTGCCAAGAGAAGAAATTGAGAGAAATGCTGCAACCGCAAAGCGGCAAGAAAGACTACTGGCAGGTTGACCACAAGCATGGGAAGCTGCGACGCATCCACCAGCGGAAGAGAAAAACGAAGTTCAATCCAACCTTTGCCAGTGACCTCCCGATCCCTGTGAGCATGCTCTCATACCACCGGGAGACTGTGGTCAAGGACAAAGGAACGGAAACCTGGCAACAAGATGACTGGCGAGAATCTAGCAAATGCACCGACTCCAGTCATTGGTGGGTGGGTTTCACCCAATTTGACATCGCCGACTTGGAGGGTGCCACCAACTACCTTGCCGAGAAGAAGGGCCAGGACACCGTGGACCTCCGCAAAGAAAGCCCAGAGGACCTAGAAGAATGGATGCTCTCAGACCTTGCGGAGTGGAACAAAGTGGCCAGCAGTGGAGCAGTCCAAGTCCTACCGCTGGAACAGTCTCGAAGAGTACGTCAAGAACTACGGGCCGCTGGGAAAGAAGACCGCATCCTGCCGACCAAGTTTGCCCGCCGATACAAGCCGGCAGAACAACCTGGTGAACCAGCAGTCAAAAAGTCCAGAATCTGCCTGCGAGGGGACAAAGATCCTGACATCTTGGAGTTGGAGCGCTTTAGTCCAACCCTCAACACGGTGAACTTCAACATCTTGCTCCAGCTGGCAGCCAATGAGGGCATGAGGGCTACGGTTGGAGACTTGAAGAATGCATTCTGCCAAAGCCAACCACTTCAGAGGCCAAATGGTCCACTCTACTTCCAGCAACCCAAGGAGGGCATCAAAGGACTCCACCGGCACCAAATCGTCCTGATCATCAACGGGGTGTACGGCCTAGTTGACGGGCCGATTCACTGGCGGCAGAGCCTGTTGGCGGACCTGGACAAGTTGGGCTACAAGATGTCCGCCATGGACCCTTGCATCATGCGGCTCTTCGACCATTCAGGAAAGAAGCTGTTGGGGGCCATAGCAATTGAAGTGGACGACCTGTTCACGGTGGGCCACGAAGAACACCATCAGAAGATGGCAGAACTAAGGAAGCGGTACACCTTTGGAAAGTATGTGTACCTCCAACAAGAGCCTATGGGGTGCGCTTTCAACGGCAGAAGAATCATGCAGAAAGGCGATGGCGAGTTCCAGATCGACATGGAGAAGTTCATCCTGGAGAGACTGCACCCCGTGCAGTTGAAGAAAGGAAGAAACTCCCAGAAGAAAGAGCTGGCCGATGAAGAAGAGAAATCACAGGCCCGAGCCGCTTGTGGGGCCCTGAACTGGCTAAGCAAGGAAGGGCGGCCTGACGCCGCCGGTCCTTCATCGTTGATGGCATCAAAGCTATCTCGCCTGACCATCGAAGACATCCAAGCTCTGAACACAGTGGTCAAAGGATTGAAGGAGAACGCCAGCCTGAAGATCCGAGTGCAGCCGTTGCAACACATGAAGCTAAGCATCGTCACAGATGCCTCTTTTGCAAACAACGGGTACCACTCTCAAGGGGGCCAGATTCTGTTGGCTCATGAGCGTCAACTCAGAGACGGACTGCCAGCAAAAGCCAATGTCTTGGCTTGGAGAAGCGGCCGACTTCAGCGGGTGGTCAACTCCACACTGGCTGCGGAGACCCAGAGTCTCTCCAAAGGCCTAGCGGACCTCACATGGGCCATCGTTCTGACAGAAGAACTCCGAAATGGGAGATTCAATATCAAGGAGTGGCGCTCCAAGGTGCTCCCAGGAGATGATGGTCCTGAGTGCATTGAGCACCACCTCGGACTTGAAAGAGGTCCTGGCCGTGGTGGACGCAAAGTCCCTTTTCGACCATCTCTCGAAAGAGACGGTCGGCGGCTCGGATAAAAGAACAGCAATCGAGATCCAGATCATCAGGCAGGATCTTCGACAACTCCATGGAGAGGTGAAATGGGTGGAGCACCTGGCGATGCTGGCGGACGGGCTGACAAAAGTCCAAGGCAGCAATGAAGCTCTCTACCGAGTCCTGAGTAGTGGCATGTACAGCATCAAGCCTGAGCTGGAAGCCATGAGCATGCGTGAAGCTGCACGGCAGGCTGGCCAAACCAATTCCGACATTCGTAGGTCTGGGATCAAAGAAGAACTTGGGAGCTGTGAAACGCGACCATACCGTTCGAGCGAGGTTGATCCCAGACATGCCATTCCTTTTGGCCCAAATTTCAAGGGGCCTGATTCCATCGCCGCAGATCCATGAAGATCGTCCGAGCTTTTCGTAGGAAGGAGAAAAGGCGCTGAAGTACGTGCTGCCATTTCACATCTTCATAGTCTTAGGCGTTCAGCTGCAAGCATTCGGCTGTTTGGGCCTCCAGAGCTGGCTGCTGAGCTCTACCGCGCATCTCGAGGTGCTTGAGGCAGTCTCGGGACATCCTTGCAAGTGTCACCGTGTTACTATTTCACACATGTTCACCCAATGTTTACCCCAGTGCGCAGAGAGAAGGAGGGTGCAGTTTACAGCCCTGGCACTACTTTGCTGAATAAAGCAGACGCACAATCATATGAAAAGCTCAAAGCTTCCATTTGCATCCCCTACCTGTGACTAGCGTTGCACAGGACTGTTTGACAAAACATGACATAACCATGTTTGATGCTGGCAGGTTGAGGAGTGTGGAAGATGTTAAGGTGGTCGGTTCCATTGTTTCTGAAGGAAGCCCTCGTGCCAAAGATGCACTCTCAGTCTCAGCTCAGTATCAGCCTCCCAGTCCCCCATTCAAGTTGCTGCTTGAGCCGCAGTGAATTCTGAAGACTTGCGGCGTTTGTCACCAAAAAAGCGAATGTTGAAGGAAGACACCATTGCGAAATAGAGATCCAAATGCAGTTGTTCGACAAAGACTTGCATTGCTGCACGTTCCAAGCATGAATCCACAAACTTCACTCGTTTCTGCTGCATCAAGGCAGCATTTCTTCTTTGTGCCTGTCGGCCAGACCAAGTTTGCCAAGACCTGAGGATAAGTGTTAAGAAAGTTCAGAAACCTGCTGGCAAAGTTGGAATGATTCAAAAGTGCAGATGTTGTACAGATGTAGGGCTGGGCTTGCCACACTCATACTTTGTGGCCAAGTAGTTCACGGGCTATGGAGGGAGTTGTTGCACTTCCAAGTGCATGAAACGCAGGTCGCAAGTACCCGCTCACTGGTCGAGCTGCCAAGCAAACTGGTGTTTGCAGCCGTTTTGATCCAAAGCTGCCCAAACCCGGGGGCAGTAGGTAGGCTGCGGGCGTGATTCTGACTTCATCATGAAGCTCAATAGGCCCGACCTATGCCGCCCGTGATGTGCAGAGTTTCGCGCAGCTTTGAATTGTGTTTTTTTCTCCCAAGCGTTCTTAATGTGCACATTGGATATATTATCCTTAGTATATAATTACCTACGTTGTTCTGCTTCCTGTCTCGCAGGTTTTTGGGCAAAATGGCTGGGAGCCAAGCGATTCAAGACCAGCGGCAAGACCAGAGACCAGCAGCGCATAGATGGAAGACCAGCAGCGCATAGATAGATGAAAACCTGACTGAGGTGAATGAGACAGTCACTATGGAGCTGAAAAACGGGACGCAAGTGTCCGGAACAATCACAGCAGCAGCTGGGATGCAAGTGTCCTGAAACATGCTTTGCTGAAATCAACGTATTGGGAAGTTGGGTGAGTCATAGTTGCCAAGGTGGATTCTTCGATGAATGCGCACCTGAAACAGGCTCAGCCTCGTCAGCGCTATGAGTCTTCATGTTTGACGCGTTCTTTCGGATTGTTGGCCTCTGCAAGGTGAAGGTTACTGTGAGGCACAAAAATCCCGTCAGCATGGCGTACCTCTCGATACGCGGCGCAAACATTCGATATGCCACTTGGCACATCTTGGCACCCCCTTTCGCACCCCCTTGATTCGCAAGTGAATCGAGGCAACCATGGCATCTATCTTCCGATAATAACGGTCCCTTTTTTTGAAAGAGCAGCGCAGGATGTTTCCAGCTGCTGCGATCACAAAGAATCATGTGCGTCGGGTTCAAGTTGGTCTAGAGCCGATAGCCAAGGTCATTCTCCCAGATCATGCGGATCTGAATATCCTACTGATCGATGACGCGCCTTTTCTGGAGCTTATCATGTTGGCAATTCCCTGTGTACGGGTAGAATGGTTTTATGCTTTTGGTGGCTTCCATGTCCGTTCATGAGGCCCCAAAGCAGAACCCGCCAAAGTACCCAGCAGGCAGTAAGAAAGCCAAGAAGGTGCGCTGCAAGTTCACATGGCGTCTTTGATGCGTGGGGTTGCTGACCTGACAGTAATGGACAGGGATGGACTGACGGATGATGCTGCGATGTGTTTTTGAAACATCTATTTTGCAACGGCGAATGTACTTCTTGGCTCAAGGCAAAGGTATTAAAACTCTTTGTGCCTGTGACGTCTGGCCCTCGAGGCTGGCAGACATGACCATTCCTCATGGCCCTTTGTACTTGTTGGCTGGCGCCGCTGTAACTTTTGCAGTCCAAAAGCTTGGATGGCTTGACATGGAGATGGGGGGCACCAGCTTGGTAAATTTTCGAGGCACCAGAGGCATGGATGATGTGAGAGATGCTCCTGATGCATCTGCTTGGGATGGTTTGCGACAAATCCTTCAGCAGTGGGAATTTACAACCAACTATGCTGTTGTGGTTGGCGATGCCAAACATGGTCGTCTCTTCACCTATGAAGGCGGGAACTTCACTTTGAAGACCAAGATCCCTACTGGCAGCACTAGCAAATGGCCATCGGCCATGATGTTTGCAGGCTTGGTGGAAGATGGCTCGGTGGGTCTAGATGATCCAGTGCACAAACACCTCTCATGGTGGACCAAAGACCCGAAGGACCCCCGGTCCACCGTGACTTTCCGCATGCTGTTGAGCTTCACATCAGGCTTCGGAGATGGACACCCAGGTGAAGAGGCCAACACCAGAGCAGGTAGAGAATGGCGACAAGCAAATGGACGAGCAGAGCTCATGTCTGCAAGGCGCTTGGCAGGAAAGGAGTGTGACTCTACTTCAGGGGACATTCTGAGCTGTGGCAAGTACATCTACAACAATGTGAAGCTCATCGGCAAGCCTGGGCAGGTGTACTCGTACAATTCCAACCACTTGCAGCTGGCAGCAGCCGTGGCCGTGACCGTCACCGGGCTTGATATTCAGCAGGTAATTCAGAAGTACTTGGTCGAAGCCTTTGACATGAAGGATAGCTCTTATCCAGGAAGCTGCCCAGATTTTGGGGGTGGATTGTTCACCACCGGGGTTGACTACGAGAAGTTCATGGCCGGCCTCTTAGCTTACAAGACATTTAGCAAGGAGTTGATCGATGCCTCAGAGGTCGATGCTACGCCCTTCTTGAAGGATTACTACACTCTCTATGGTGACTATGGCTTTGGACACTTTTTGATGTGCTTTGACAGTGTGAAAGGCTTTACTAAAGAGTGTGAGGAAGCTCAGTGCCACATGGATCCCGGGGCCTTCGGTTTCATTCCACTCTACGATCGGAAGAACAACTACTATATGCAAGTGGTTGCTGCCGAAATTCCACCCACAGGCTCCTATCCTTTGAGCGGCATCCCCGAGTACTTGGCAGTCGGAATTAAGCCACACGTTGATGCCATCATGACAGGACAGGTAACAAGCAATCCCATGGAGCAGCTTTCGCACAACCCTCAATTCCTCTCTTTGAGTATGTCGGATGTGAACTATTGCTTGAACTGCAAGCTCCATCCAAAGAGCTGCAGCTGAATTCCATAGCGGCGCCAACAGAGCCCATTCTAAAACTCTTTTGGAGCAGCCCAGGAAGATTCCTTGGAGAACAGACCATGCTGCAGACCCGAATTCTCGGATGCTCAAAGGATCCCCGCAAAAGCAGCTCAGCTGCTCGCGCCCTTGCCATTATGTCGTGCATTCATTGATTTTCTTCCCATTGGGTTGTTTTCACATATTTTTACATCGGTTACTGTTGTAATCATCCATACGCTGCTAGGCTGCTGCTGGTGGCGGTGGCGGTGGCGGCGGCGGTGGTGGAGGCGGAGGCCGGTTGAGCTGATTCAATTCTTTTTTCGCAGTGCTAATCCCCAATGAGGGCTTTCGGCTTGGGGTGTTCGTGCGCCAGACCGTGACCGGGATCGAGACCGAGATCGGGACCGTGACAGAGATCGTGACCGTGACCGCCGCCGATAAGGCCATTGCTTGAACCACCTCAAACTTGTCGACCCATGATACTTTGCATAGCACATATAGCCACTGACATTCCATGACCACAAAAGCGCACTTAATGCCGCAATCATACATTTGCCAAAACCAAGAGCATTTGCCAACAAACAGCGCAGGAAATCAGCCACGTTTGGACAGCAGATTGCGAAAGAACTTCTGGCCAAGCCAAACAAAATTATCAGCAAAGCTGCATCAAAGGTTCAGCACAGTAATTAACGCTTGTCAGATGCTTTGCACATGTGTAAGTTTACATGATGCACACTTTCTTGAGCACCTTCCGCAAACAGAGGTCTTTATGGGGAGCTATTCATTGTTAGGCCCAAAACTGCTCAACCCGCCGAATGATGAACGTCGGGAACCTGAGCCAAACCTTAAACAATCCAAGCAACGACACTCTTGTGGGACACTCTTGCGGACCTCCCTGGTAGGACACTCTTGTGGGACACTCTTGTACAGGACACTCTTGTCGGACATTCTTGTGGGACACTCTTGCGGGACACTCTTGTGGGATCCTCCTGTATGGCACTCTTGTAGGACACGCTTGTGGGACACTCATGCGCGGCACTCTTGTGTGTCACCCTTGTAAGACACTCTTGTGGGTCACTCCTTTGGGGCACTCTTGTAGGACACTCTTACAGATCTTACAGATGCACATGCTGACAAGGAGATCAAAACTGAGCCAAAAGAAAATCACGCCTAATTGAGTTGTGCCAAGGCTGTTCGTCCTTTGAGCTTTTGATCTTTTCCATTTAGATGGGAGGCTGGAAGTGTCACTGGATGGTGGAGGCATGGTCACAGCCATCCGGGATATGTTTCAGATGACTACAGTGTACTGTATTTGTGTGTTTCTTTCAATGTTGAAGACCTTAGATGTGAATGAATATCCGGCCTGTTCTCACGGTTTACAGCTTCAGGAAAAGTGAGTGGAGATGAACGCGCCGTTTTGATCAGAACAATGGAGAAGGCTCTGAGTTCTTACATTGAGTCCATGGACTCCGGACAAGTGACAAGTAACAAAGTATGCAATGGGGCAAATAGAGCTTTCCTTCTGACTACATATACCTTGAATGAGGGCCAGGATGTTAGCTTGAGCAAGCAACGCATGCTGAATACAGAGAACGAGAGCTGACTCAAAGCTCGCTCCCTCTCCGACACATCTCACACACACGGTCCTCAACTTGCCGGGTGTACACATCATCAATTCAGACGTGTTGAGGTCGGTCCGCTGGTGTGTGGTTGGATGTCGAAGGAGCAATCAGCCTTGGCTTTGCTGTACGTTTAGCTGCTGCACCGAATAGCTGGCATAAAACTGGCCAAAGAATGCAGCCTCACAGTCTAAGGTTGCATGAGTTCACATGTCAGATGCCTGGTGCTTGGTTTTGGCACTTTGGCCGCTCCTGCCGGGGTGGTGCAGAATCGCAGCTCATAGCTAGAGTGACTAGCATTGCTCCAGCCGACCGGGTTAAGTTGCGTGTGCATGCGACTTTCAGCATGAAAGCACGTCAAACCTATCCCCAGGAGATCACGGTTAAAGAGAGAAAATGAAACAGGTTATATACATGGTCACCTGCTTGGTGAGCACACTCAGCAGATCTCAGTCTATGAAGGTTCACAAACAGGGGAAACGCCCAGCTTGGTGCTTGGCAAAAAGAGGTGGGGCGGAGCAGCAGCTAGTGGCAAAGATGGTGGAGAGCAGCGTGAGGTCAAATCCAAGACTTAGATATAGAAGCACAATCCTCCTGAGTAAGAATTGAAAAGCATTCATCATTCTGTTGTTCTTTTACTTCCTTGTTTGTGTTTGATGAATGCCCTCGGGGCTTGTAGCGGTACCCAGGACCAAGGCGAGGGCACTATTATGCAACAGCTTCTGTCACATGTATTCATTTGATGCTAGCTGCTATAGCTGCTAGGTCTTGAAGCCAAACTTCCTGCATGCAAGCAGAGCTACGGGATCGAACCTCAGGATGTCAGCATAAACATGCGATAAAGGTGTCGGCCCGTCCCACGCGTTCAGCTGCTGAACTCGTCGAGCATAGATGTTACAGAGTGCCGAAGGCTGTTCACAACTAGCTTTGCTGCGGCTTTGCAGTCCATGCCTGAGTTGTAGAGAGGTCCATGCTCCGATTGTGTGCACGTGTTATCGGATTGTTTCATATTTTCTATTAGTAGATTCTAGCTTCATTTTGCGAGTTTGTTCCTTTGCTTAACCTTGCCTTGATCCTTTGCGAACAAGAAGCCGTTTTTCAGATGATGGTGCTATTTTATATAGGTGGTTCGCTTGGTTTTGCTTGGCAACCTTGCTCTTGGGGAAGTGTTCAGAGCCATTCACACTTGTGGCTGAGGCAGGCTGTGCACACAAATGTAGCAGGCTGGAAACTTGCACTGAAGCAACCTGGAGACATTTGGTGGCACTGCCAACCGAGAACATAAATTGAGCCAGTGCAGGACGACAGGGAGAGCCGCATGCCAGCCACCCAGAACTTGGGAGTGCGTTCAATTGTATTTGAACTAGATTACCTTCAACACCGACTTTTGTCATCAGCGATTTTGAGACAAGGAACTGGCCCTGGCAGGCATGACGCGAAGTTTTGATTTGACGCTGGAAGCCATCCACAGCTTGTGTTAGGCTTGAGCTATTTACAGCTGGCCAAACTGCTGGACGATGAACTGCAAAAGCGAATGAAGGCACTGAGTCCATGTCGTTATTTTCCTTGCTGCCCATATTCTCAAAAAGGAGTCCAGAGTGAACAGAGGTGATTGCTGGAAGAGCTGGTGTCGAACAGCACATCTTGTCTTGATCCTGGGGCGGTAGTGGGCAGTAGAAGCTTGCAAGTTGCTGCCGTTTGCTGTCTGTTTTATCCTTCTGTTGCGTTCTTTCGGTTGCTACCGAGGCTTGGCTTCTCACAGGATCCTAGCACCTCTGCCTTTCTACAGCCGCCTCACGAGGCACTTTGGCAAAGCAGTGCTGCTTGTTGTTTAAATGGACTTGAACCGCACAGGTTTGGCAAGTACCACGGCCCCTGCATCTCGGTGGCAAGCAT